TTGGTACCACATGGTCACGACACGTGACTGTTGACAGGTAAAACACCTGTTTGTTGTTAAGCACCACACTCAGTAATATTCTGGCTATATGAGGGCAGTCTGTGAAGGACCTAACAATCCAGTGATCGATGTTATGATCACTGGTCAATGTGTCGGTGTACAATGGCACACTGTCGGCCATGTCAGGGAGTCGGACCACGCGTCAATGGACCAGTACCACCCCTGGATCCCCACATATGTGTGTAAAACACTCCGCGAACCAACAAGGGTCAGACTGTTGAAGTGCATTGTCCGCGAAATGCTTGGGGAATGATAACGTTTTTCCCCATGTTTTGTTTTGATGAGATTAGACTGGTGATCGACAAGATCTTGACTTGGCCCACTCATATGCCAGGTGAGACACGTTAGATTCTACCAACGCAGAGTGATTAGTTTATGCGTTACACGCTCTGTTGGTGGACAGGCAATATCATTATGAAGACGCCAGTCATCTCACACGATTAACAAGGAACGCTCCACTTGGGACGTGATAATGAGCTGAGTTTACACGTACACCGTGTAAGCAGTTTAAACTTTGATATACATGTAGGTTTGATTGAGACATATTTCAGACACGGTTGTACCACTAATACTGTACTTGACTATGTTTGTGCGGTACAGCTAGTGACAAACCGGTTTTCTTGTACCCTGTCAACCACACGACCCAAGTGCACATGTATACATGAGACTATTGATTTCCAATTAACAGGAGTTTGATAGAGGATGGCAGGTGTGTATTGTGACATAGCTGTGATCGGAGTGCGGTCTGGCTATCTACGCGTTTCTTTGCACCTGTGACCAGGTGTTTAGTCGCACCTGACGTTTTCAATACCACCTGTAGCTAGGATATTACAACTGGCAAATCAAGGACGGAGTCCATAGTTTCTGGGTTACTGGGTTAGCGACTTAATCTACTTGTGTTAAACAAATATAAGGATACGGGGAACCTTATACAAATAATAAGTCAGAGAAAGTCTGTCGTCACTTTTAGTAATATTCCAGCACTTATACGACTGGGGTTTCAACCAAATTACCCATGTGGGGAATCGAACCCATGGATCCGATGTGAAGTGGGAACGCCGAAACAACGGGGCTAATCAATCGCCTAAGACAATACGAACATAGGCAGTAGTTGATTGCTCAGTGAGTACCCAGTCAGACGTGTACGGGGTTATCTCTACCGACCACATCGCCTAGAGGTCATGTACAGGGTCCACGGGGTATATTCACCCACCAGCCATACACCAGCTTATTGGATTACTGTTTTATACATCATGTTAGAGTAATATGAATCCATATGACGTACTGAATCTGAAGAAAAGGCGTTCGACTTGTTACATCGTCGGAATGAAACTCCGACCACGTGCCTGACAAGGAAGGATAATAAACACTGATAGGTAACACCTTTCACTTAGCCCTTCTCCACAAACAAATACTCGTCAATTAATATGTTCTCTTCTCGGCTAAGAAGAAGCAGCAGTTTATTAGACCAGATAGAAAATTAGTGAAAATTCGAGGAGCAAATAGGAACCCAAACAAAAAAGAATGCTATCAGTGTGTATTGACATAAGACAACAGAGCAACAAGGTTCTGTAGCTCGCCTACAGATTACAAATGTTATAAGAGAGTAGGCCCATGTCTCGGTAGCATGACTCCGGAAACAATCCGGGTATCTTCATAACCAACATCCTCACGGCGTGTTCATGGATCTACACATTACATACTGACAGTGGGCAAACATGTTCCACACGACCCAGTGGTACACGAAGTACAAGTACAAGCAGGCCGGGGGTGGAGCTGCATGCAATAACACAGCAGAATATGTCGCGTAACAGGGCATAACATGTGCATACAGAATCTAGGACGTTTTGTAATGCAGAATTGACTGAGCAACTGCTACGATTTATAAATCTGATGAGTACGTTGTGAGCAGCAAGATGTCCAAACCAGACAAACTGAGTCGGGAAGGTCAATGCGCGTGGGTGGGTTGAAAATAACATATACCAAAATATTACAAGGTAAAATATTCCCAATAGCAAAGGCATAAACAATTCAAGTGATGCACATAATCATGAGAAATGTCCCGAAGATTCGTTAATAGATACAGTTTCAGATTCAAAGGCCTCGTGCAGTCGCATATAGTGAGTGAGTGAGTGAGTAAGTTTGGTTTTACGCCGCTTTTAGCAATATTCCAGCAATATCACAGCGGGGCAGTCGCACAGACAAATATAAAGATGGGCGGACAGTTAACGGACAAAATCCTTCGAAATTAGGTCACATGACTTTCAATCAGGCAAAAAAAGTAACTGTAAAGTTTATGATCTAAGAATTCAGTGTTATCTAGTGTTTTGTAAATCTAGTACACGTGTGTTTGGTGTTTCGCGTACATCTTGATAAAACATTGTTAAATGAAATAAAGTTTCTGTATTTGACACTTGATTTTCCTTAATCCCATCCTTCAGAGCGGTTGGGTGTGTGTGTGTGTGTGTGTGTGTGTGTGTGTGTGTGTGTGTGTGTGTGTGTGTGTTATATTTTATGTAAAGTATTGAAAATCAAAATGAAATTGTAGTTATGGGAAGGTAGATATGGTTTCGTCTTGAGCCCACCCCCCCTGTTCCTACGCCTCTGATAACAACAACAAAGATTGGCCTCACCTTAGCTCTGAATACAATTGCTTATTCATTAATCAATAATTACTTGTTTCTTTAATTCCATGTCCTGTCTAAGAAACTATTTTGTGCCCTACTTTTCGACAGTTGTTCCAGTGTACGACCCGTGGCACATACGTGTTGCACTGTATCATGTTTCTACGCCATTATCGTCGTTCTGTTCAACCATCTGTCTGATACACTGTATGTACCCTGTAAAGTACACCCTTGGCCTCTCTGTACACATTGACAGTTAACCTCCATAGTATAAATAACATGTATGATGATGATGACAATAATAATATTATATTAATGACAAGATATATTTCTACAATTTTTACTTATTACCACGATTTATGTATATAGGTAGATTATTTACATACTCGTATTACGCTTGTGCTGTTGGTACAGCCGTTTAACCTCTGTGTTGATACGCAAGTTGAATACAACATTTGGACGGTCGGTAAGCCCACCTTATTAAGAAGGAGGGGTACATGACCCAATACACTTTGATAGGAAACCAATAAACTCGCTCACCCAAATAATTACAAGTAGTCTCATTCATCCGTAAGAAAGCTCCCTTTAAGAGGCTGTCGCCCCTGAGAGAGTATTAAACATTGATACAAGGTTCTGAACAGTTTTGTGAATGCAAGCGGGAGGCCTGATTAATAATTAATGCCTGGAAGACCTGCCTGGTATTGACGGACCGACTGTGAGTCACGCCGTGCACGATTCAGCAGTGGTGTCGGTTATACATGAAACGTCCTGCCGTTATTCATACAAGCAGTGGCAGAATATGCTTTATACTGTGTAGATAGCTCTAAATCTATTCATCTAAGAGATGATCCTGTGATTAGCCACTGAGCACAGAAAATACTATTTTCCTTGGAGTGAGTGAGTGAGAGCGAGCGAGCGAGGGGTCTCTATTTCAGCATTATTGAAGCTTTTTCACAGCAGAGCACACCAAGATTGGACGTCGCACGTTGTACTCCAGACTAAGGCTTAGTCTCTGAATATATATAATTTTGATAGTAACAAACAAGCCCATTTATATTGAAAAGGAGCCCTAGGGAGACCAGAGATTCAGAGACTAAGAACATCTGCATTTAGACTTGCTTTATTTAGGGCTTTAGCACTGCAGAGAGGGCTTGGTAGTAGGGAAATTAATGTGGTTCAGGGACTCTAGACTTGCTTTATTTAGGGCTTTAGCACTGCAGAGAGGGCTTGGTAGTAGGGAAATTAATGTGGTTCAGGGACTGTGAGACAGACTAGTTGTATTCTTGCGAGCGTACATACCAAAGGACGACCTAGCATTAAACTGGGAGAAATCTTGGATGCAAACCCATAAACAACAGGGGCGGTGGGGTAGCCTAGTGGTTAAAGCGTTGGCACGTCACGCCGAAGACCCGGGTTCGATTCCCCACATGGGTACATTGTGTGAAGTCCATTTCTGGTGTCCCCCGCCGCGATGTTGCTTGAATATTGCTAAAAGCGGCGTAAACCCAAACTCAGTCAGTCAACCATAAACAACGGATTCTGTAATGGTGATAAAACGCATAGTATTTAAACATGCATTGATTTGCGTCTTTAGATGGAAAGTGTATGTAAAATCAAACACAGATCTAATTCCAGATTTTGGATGAAATGATTTTGAAACTGAGGTTTGAGGTCAATGTATAGATTTTACAATAAAAATTGAGTCAACAGCTGTATGCGGTATTTTCCTTGGTAGAATGAGCCAAAACTCATTTGGTGGCTCAGGCACCCGTAATTAACACAATCTGTGTGATGCTTTCAATCACGCGGCCCAATCCACCATGCAGATCTCCCCTACAGCGGTAGGTCGACACTAGTGGTTCCAGGGTTCAGTGACTCTCCCCGTGAAGTAACGCGCTGATACACCCACGGGATTTCACGGATCGTGCATGTACGACATTGAATAATACTAAAATCCTTTTGTTACGACATTCATCGTCATCTGTCCCTGGATTTGGTTTTCAATTCCAGCATTTGGCGCAGTGTGTCTACTCAAGGCTTGAAGTACCCGTGCTATTACAGCGTGAAACAAACATTCGACACAGTAAAACAAATGAGTGGTGGGGCAGTTGTGTCTCACAAAATAGTCTACAATTCGCAGAACAAACAAATGTCTTGTTAAGACGACTTCGGATGTAGTGACAGACTGACACTGGATGCCGCTGTCCATCGATTCTTATTTGACTCCACGGCCATTTTAGCGCTGTTGTGTTTATGTTGATATACTACCCTGCATCACAGAAGATGAGGGGCAGATTGAACAACAAACTAATCGTATCATGAATAATATTTATATACAATAAAACAAAATATTAACAATTCTAACGTGCAATTCACTCAGAAAAATAAGTCAACCCCACCTAGATATGTCCAAGCATGATGTATGGGAAAGTATAAACAACACGTGCATGTGAGCCTGTACACAACAACCATATACATGTATAGACATAGTCCACTCTCTCCCAAAACAGAAACGCATGGGTGATACTGACATAAAGAATTTCAGATATTTTTCAAAATGTGTGTCTGATTGTTTTAATTTCACCGTTATAGTGCTCTTTTGTCTACATGGAACGAATACAGGGTGCCAAAACGCAATCGTTTACGAGAGGGGGATTTCGAGCAAGAAGACAATATCTTGGCCCCGTACTGAGAGACCACTAAAGGGTATTATGGTGCAACATTTTTTATTTACATCCTAGTTGATCCAGGCGTCACTCAGCACATGGTCCTATTCAATATCTGCAGAATGGGAACAGTACAGTGCTTTATGAAATGGTCTTTCAAATTACCCGACCACAAACCCTTCGAAAAGCTTGTGGGATTACCATGGCCGACGCGTACGTGAACGTCAAGCCAGGCCTCAGACGATCAACTGCAAGATGAATTGGCCAGAATCCCACAAGGTCGAATTTAAGGACGGTGCAGAGCAGTTTTGGAGGCTCGTGCTGGCCACATCAAACTTTGAAGACAACTGGGAACGGACGCTTTCACTTCTATGACCTGAACATATTAACTTGATCTTTTTTACTGTGAAATTGGGATGCAACTGATCCAGAATTACATACGTTATCTTGCTGTGAAGGTAACACCTGTGCGTTTCCTGGCTGGGAGAGTGTAATATAACACAGATAAAATAAACGACAGAACTGGAGAACATTCCAATACGTAATACTGAGTTCGGTATTATCTACACTATATAACAGTATGACTTTGATTGCAAACAAAACTCAACTAACGGACAAAAGAAAGTATATACTTGAAACTTAAATTTCAAATATTAAAAAAAAACACCACAAGGCTGAAAACAGCCAGTCACTGGAATCGTAGGGGCCAAAACATACTAAAGTACCCTACGTCGCCATGCATCGAAAAGACATTTGACTGTTTCTTCCATTTTTAGCATCAAACATGGATGAACACTTTCTTACATATTTACATGAACCGTGTAACATGCTAAACAACGCAACAAAAATTGAGCAAAACGTTTCATGATAATCATTCTCAAAATAATACTTTGTTTTCAAAGAGTTTTTACATATAAAAATATCCAAATCTCAGTTACACATTTTACAATGCTTCACTTAGGCAATATATTTCACAGTTACAAATCAACACAGTTATCTTAAATAATACACATGTCAGTGTGGGCAATTTGGACATGTGGAGTTTTCAAGTAATATTCAAAGTATTTAAAGACATTTTATCGATACAAACCAACTGCACGTGGTTAGATGACGTAGTTCCTTTACTGTTTATCATTGTTTATAGAGGAAACAAGCACAGTGTTGGCCAAAGAGACACAGATGGAGAGACAGTATATGGTTCGTGGTTTCACTCTGCGGGAAGCGGGGTATCCTATAAAAAACGTTGAACAATATCAATCACCTGGCAACAACCCACAGATCAATCAGGGATCACATTCCACTAAATATTTCAGGCCGCAAAACACCGGCCATGTCCATGAGCACGACCGGACATCAGTGCATAACGAAAGACCGCCACTGGACAAGATCACTGGGTGGGATACCGAAGTCTCGCTTCTTGTTGTCCGTGACTCTGCTGAAGAAAAAGCCGCACGTTGGTTTGCCAAGAGTGTAGAATGGTGCAAGAGAATTAGGCGTTTTGGCGGTTCCCATGGCACCAATTTTGGTTGTCTTCTGTTTGGTAAAAACCGGCTGGGTGGAGGCTCGGAGGGTCTGCTCGAACGTGGGTGTAACTGGTGGCCGAACTTGGCTCTTCGTCACATTTCTTTGGGTGAAGGTGTTACAATGCCGAGAAAAGCGGTTGGGAATACCCAAAGATTTCAGTCGAAGAGTTTCCAAGCGCTCCCACGTCAGGGTGTGGAGATTGGGATTAAATCCAGTTGTCTGAGTTTCACCCAGTTCCTTGTTGATGGGGGCCTGGGGTCTGACTTCGAGCTGTGCCATCGTGGGGAGTTTGTTATAACCTTCTGCTAGTCTTCTCTCACTTTGCCTCAGTCCTTCTTGAGGAGGTTCTTGTTGATCGTTCTGGGCGACCGAGCTCCCCTGGCTAGTACGGATCAATATCAGACTTATCTCCGCGGTCCTCGACTTACACCCGTGTGCTCACCGACTGTGCTATCGCTATTGTCTACGCGTCACTACGCCCCGTACATGGATACCGAACTACCCGTCGTCATGACATAACGCTACGTTGTCGTGTGCTCGATCGGGGCCTATTTCTTATCTGTGACGTAACGTCACTAAGAAGATTTTTTTCTCCGAACGAATGTTTGACTTTCATTTGATGATTGAGTAGATTGTAGATAGGGCTTGGTGTACAAACATAAAAATAAATTGGCCTCCATTAGGAAAATGACATAAATATAAATAGACATAAAAAAATTACTGCATCGAAATATACTCAGAGTGAAGTTTGATGGGAGTGAAGTTCTTGTTTTGAACCAAATCACAAAACAGAATGAGATATGCATGCACAACCGGTTGTATTCGACTCACATACTCCAGCTCTGATAATATCTGTTGACGATGATCAAGTCTGTTATATAATTAGCTGTATTTCACGGACACAGGCGTATTGTCAATACAATACTTATTTCTTGTCTTCACAATGCGTTTGCTCGTAAGACAATTTTCTTACTAAAATTGGGTCAGTCCAAGTTTGACTTTTCCTATTACGATTACTGAAACATGAATGGGGTAATGGCTAATGATAGATGCTATTAATATATATGAATTGTTTGTTCTTCTGTTTTACATTTGCACAATGGCCACAGAGAATATATTAGTGAGAAGCATTTATTACGAAAACCATGTGAGTAAATACCTGCCATATGTAGTCTGATGGCTAGTCAATTGTTTTCACCGCGAAGATACTGAGATTATCCGTTCCGAAACCTGTTTAGATCATCTTAATTCTGCTTCACACCCTGTCTTCTAACCGTTGTGCTTTAACTTTTACACGATATTTGATTAGAAAAACACTCGAATCTATCATATGATTCCCCTGTTATCATTCTATCTAGACTTGGACAAGATTATGACATTTATTGATTGTACGTTGGTTTCGCTCTCGTAGTCCACTGCCTCTCACTGGAAGGTCAAAGATATACATGAAATACACAATGCCATTTAGAAAGTGGTCAAATGTCAGGTGCCTGACTCTGAGGGTGTGGGTTCGAATCCCTGATCGGACTCAACCCAACAAAAGTACTAAAATCTGTGCTTTACAAAGAAAGTGAAATCCCAAATATAACATATGTTACAAGGGTATACATATTTACATGTGAGAAACATGAATTAGGATAACATACGTGCGCGACGTATCTCTCTCTCACACACACACACCACTATTGTTTAGTTTCTGTACCCCTACACAACTTTACAAACGAATACTCCAATCAACCCTTTTCTCGATTCCATTTGAAAAAATATGATGCAGTCAAATGCTTCATTTGAGCGCATAATAAAAATAGGCAGGGACCTTATCTTGACAAAGTACTTATTTGTGATACGCTTCCGTGTGTAGGAGATTACTAGAAGCGGCGTATAATATCTAGGAGCTCTCCAGTTCCGGTGTACAGATATCGCACAGTGCGGCGTGTGTTATATCGTCCTTTTAGAAGAAATTGCCTCAAACATGGTGGTGTCAGTGACTATACAACATTTATTCAAGTATCGGCTTGAGTTTGTCGCAAATACACACTTCCAGAAGGTACTGCAGTTCAGTGGAGCTCTGGCTAGGGGCAGACGACCCGCTGTGTCAGGCAAACTGACAGTGACAGTGGGCGTGGCACAAACTATCTACAGCCTTGTGAAACTTAAACAACTTATGTTAAACATGATGCAGATCTGAAGAATCGCAACAGTTTCATGACGTAGGAAGCGACTGGTGGGTCGAGTTGTCAGGCCACTTGCCTTCGTGTTATTTCAACTGAAGGCGTTGCAGATAGATCTAGTTACTTGCAACATCAGGCACATGAAATATTGGCCATTTAGGAATTTCACAATAAACAGTATTTTACTCGTTTTTCAGTTTTTTAACGCTGCACTCAACAATATTCCAGCTACATAACAGAGATATGTAATTAAGCAACTCAGGACCTGACAATCCACCAATCTACAGAATGCTATTGTAAAGGTCATTGTAAACATACTTGAATCAAGTCAGCAACCTGACCACTTAATCCCATTAGTCGCCTCTTACCAGAGTATGAAATAATTTTGAAAAGTCACAGGCAAGGGAGGCTAGTTAAGTAAAAATGTTGCTAGCCCACATCATAACTTCCCTGGCCCTGCAAAATATCAATATCAAAATGCACATCGGTCAGAATTGGTGTGATGTTTGGTAATTAATATTGAAGATGTTAAATGTTACATGTGTATTGTAATGGTTCCAAACTCATTTGTGCAATGCTATTAACATTTTTATAGAAGCCTCTTCGTGTGACAAGATAAACTTTTGCGGACAGACTTTTAACACCTTACTAATTGACTTCATCATATTCATGCGCATTGGCTAAAGAACAAATTATCTGAGATTTTCAGCTAGCCAGTCGGGATAGCTTTAACAATATATTACTGGCCCAATTCACAATCAGCTAGCATTTGGCTAGCAGGCCAGTAGTTATTCCGAATGTTACCTCTTACTAACATGGATCTTCACTGGTTTAAAAATGATTAAAGTATGTCATTTATATTTACTGAACATGTTCAAATTTTCAGTTCGTTGTCTTGAAAGTGAACTATTCATACACTAACTAAGGTGAGATGTTGAAATGTTCATATTAATGTTTCAGTATCCTAGTAAAGGGGAGAAGTTTGTTGTGAGAGTTGACACCCTGGAACACAATAGAGGTACGTCAGCGTAAGTGACAAAAGAAAAAAACATGTATCAATTGAAAATATGTTTAATCAATGTTTTGCTATGAAGTTGATATTTTGCAGAAGAGATTGGAAATACTAAACAGATTTTCTGCAATTTAAGTTGTTACAGGGCATTGCCAGAGATACGAATATGAGCAATAATGTTTAAAATCTTAACAACAGAGGTGATTAGACATGAGTGGGTACAGGTTATCCATCAGTTGTGTGCCGTGGAAACCACATTTATATAAACAACGTATGGATTGTCTTGTTCTGGGTGTACCCTAGTGTGCATGTTTTTACGTTCATGTTTCCAGCATGCATAGAATATATCTGGGCTGCAGCAAGCCTGTGAATAGAAGCAATGTATTTTATGGCCCACAAACAGGAAATCTGTACAAATACATACATCTTATGTCATTTCAATAGGCAGGATTTCAATGCAGCCTAGGTCCTTAGTATACATTCTTGTTACAAGAGCAGATCACAGCAAGAATGGGGTTGTCACAAAGAGAACACATCAGTGTATGAATTTTGTTGTAGGGCTTGTCTGAAATCTGAGTATATTCAAATTTGGCACTTATGAATTTTAAACACAGCTAAGATCAGTCCATATACTGCCATGAAAACATGGTAATCAGAGTGAAACCTGACAAGTTCCGACCGTGAGACTCCAGCATTCTCTCTGACTGTGGTTAGCCCAGTAGTTTAAAGGGTCAAATGTACTTTCCAGAGGTTTGAATCCCTAATTTTACTGTAGTAGTCACCCCAGACCCTTCACCAACCTGCCAGTACTCACGAATTTCATCAAAATTGTAAATGTTGACAGCATCACTTTCAGCTTCTAACATTACTCAGATAGTACTGTTCAATTCAGAGTAAAATCATCCTTGATGATATATTATTTTGCCATTCTAATATCTATAGAATTCTAATATCTGTAGATCCATTCTCCACCATTTGATCTTTTATACAGTCTACAATCTACAACACCTTCTCCATGACTCACCAAATTACCATTCTCCACCATTTGATCTTTTATACTGTCTACAATCTACAACACCTTCTCCATGACTCACCACGCCGAAGACCGGGTTCGAATCCCCACATGGGTACAATGTGTGAAGCCCATTTCTGGTGTCCCCAGCCGTGATGTTGCTGGAATATTGCTAAAAGCAGCGTAAAACCAAACTCAGTCAGTCAGTCAGTCAGTCAGTCCATGACTCACCAATTACCATTCTCCACCATTTGATCTTTTATACTGTCTACAATGTACAACACCTCCTTGACTCACCAGCTGTCTATAGACAGACCTTGGTGATGTTGTTTCATTCCAACTGGACTCATTCACTGACAGCAATGTTTCAGATGCTGCACGTGGTATAGAGTACTGGAGAAGGATTGCGGTGTGTGCAAATGTCATCCCCAGCATACTGAGAACTGTAAGTCAGTCAGCCTCTGACACTTTTACCATGGCAACAGTGCCATTTCATTAATTGTAGATTCAACTTTTGCAATATTGGTTCAGTTACTGCAATCAAGGTTGAACTATTGCGGTGTATGTTTAACTTTTGCAGTATTGCTTGAACTATTGCTATGTAGATTTTACTGTTGTAGCTTGTTCCTACACATAGGTAATCTGATCAGTTGGTGCACCATATTAACATTCTGCTTGATTTTTTAAAACATTTATTGATTATCTAACCTTGCTCTTGAACATATTTCATCCATCAGATAAATGTGCTGAACGAGCAGAATTTCCTCCTTGAAGAAGAGGCCTGGCTGAATTTTCATAAGCCTGAGTTTCATCTGCGGAGTTCTAATATCACATGGTCCAAGTATGCCCATATATGGGAGGAATCAACATTCAGGCCAAGTCACGAGAATCCAAAGTGGTATGAATCTGAGAAGATTATTCTGGATTAATGCTTGTAGTTCCAGAAATTTCTCTATAACTCAAGACCTCGGGTCTAAACATAAAGTAACTGCACAAATCCGCTCTGAATTGGAACAAAAATTTCAAAACACTATGAACTATAGCTGTAAACAGACAGACAGACATGACATCTGCACTTGTTGAACACTATATAATACATCATGTGTTGTCATCTTCCGACATTATTTCAGGACGGTCCTTGAACAGCATGGAGTCGTGGAGGTGAAGGCATTTGGAGCATTTGGGCGCGTGCTGGAGCTGTTTGCTCAGAGATTTTTGCAGTCGGGAGTCAGGAGAGTGAGTTATGTTTCATCTTGTGTCTGTCATTTCTTTACTGAACTCATATTTTGACAACTTTTCAAATCTGTATGCCGACATTAATGCTGTTTGGCTCATACCCTAGAAACTGACACATCTCTTGGTTCTCTGTTGCAGGGCTTGAGAATAATGGATGACCTTCTGCAGGAGAGGGAAAGCCAAGCTTACCTTCCCCAGGACAATGTGTCGTGACCTGACTGTCGGTGTTCACCAGGTAGACTTACACCTGGGTGCTGTCGGCGGACATGACTTTTACCATGATACTTCTGAAGACAGACAATCTGGAAAATAGTTGATGAAATTGAATGATGTTCAATCATACATACTGTATGGGTTTGTTAATATGTTGTACCTGCTGATTCTGTTATCTTGATACCGGTGCCAGAAATGATGTTCAATATAGATATTACTGAAGTTATTTGACTCACATTCTCAATACTCTCCCATATGTTTAGTGTAATGGTTCCTGGAATTAGCCACTGTATGAGTGTGTGAGTGCTGCTTGACGTGAGGTAGGTCCAGGATGTGTATACTTTGATGAAACCCATGATCTAGTGTGTGGTGCTATCACACTGAAGTGGAACCTCGGCAAACAGGAATTTGAACCCACGATGATACAGTTGTCATATGCCCAAGGGAAGCAACTCTCTACAGGGAATTGTGATGTCTAAGATGATATCTGAGACCTGCATTACTTCAGGCATTCCTCCCACATGAACCTGACACGCTGTGGTATAACACCTGTACTTCTCACAGTGGTGTTAAACCAAACACAATAACTGTAAAGAGACACAAGGTTAAAAAGAGAAAAAACTCTGACAAGTAGAGGTGTCGACAGGCAGAGGTACTGACAGGTAGAGGGGTGGACAGGTAGGGGTGTGGACAGGTAAAGGTACTGACAGGTAGGGATGGACAGGTAGAGGTACTGACAGGTAGAGGTGGATGGGTAGAGGTACTGACAGGTAGAGGGGGATGGGTAGAGGTACTGACAGGTAGGGGTGGACAGGTAGGGATGGACAGGTAGAGGTGGATGGGTAGAGTTACTGACAGGTAGAGATGTGGACAGGTAGAGGTACTGACAGGAAGGGGTGGACATGTAGAGGTACTGACATGTGTAGGGGTTGACAGGTAGAGGTACTGACAGGTAGAGGTGGACAGGTAGAGATACTGACAGGTAGAGGTGGATGGGTAGAGGTACTGACAGGTAGAGGTGGATGGGTAGAGGTACTGACAGGTAGGGATGGACAGGTAGAGGTGGACGGGTAGAGTTACTGACAGGTAGAGATGTGGACAGGTAGAGGTACTGACAGGTAGGGGTGGACATGTAGAGGTACTGACATGTGTAGGCGTGGACAGGTAGAGGTACTGCCAGGTAGAGTCATGGACATTTAGAGGTGCTGACACATTGAAGTACTGACATGTGTAGGTTGGACAGGTAGAGGTACTGACATGTATTTGTACTGGAGACAGCTGATTAGGTCTAGGAAGTACAGTGGCTAGAATACAATGTTGCAGCTTTAACAGCATTATTTCAGTGATATTTCAATACCTCTGTCACCTTTGTTATGTATATGATTGTTTAATGATATAAGTCATGTATTTTGTTGACGTATAATCAAATGATGACTTTGCAATATACACATCAGGTAATGATAGTGCCAAAGGTAACATGTGCTGCCTTACAACATTCGACATGTTAAGCTCCCTGCCCCAAATAACCATGACCAAGTTCTAAACATATCTGCTAGTGATATGTTTTACTAATTTAGGTGACAGTATTGGTCATTAAAGTTTAAATTAAGTTCAAATCTGAAAACAATTTAAATGGTTTTAACTGACTATGGTGTTAATAACTATCTGCTTTGTCATTTCTAAGTGTATAAGGCAGTATGTATTTTTTGTTAAGTTTTCATTTTATCACCTGAAACATTGTCAGGTCCATGGACATACTAGCCCATTACAACCATGTTGATTATCATTTTTGTGGCTGATACTCTTATATCATTCTTTTGTTCTGTGTTGCTATGGCGATCCTTGCTGCTAGTCAACAGATATTTGACATGTTTAATGTTGTGTATTGTTTTGATATTAAAATGATTCTTTACTGGTACTGTTTTGATCTTATTAAATGTTACATATATTTTGTTTGAAGTACTGCTTGTGATTTGTTTGTTTAAATGGAAATACATCTTGGTGAACCTCAGAAGTATGTCCAAAATACATCTGTACTACAGAGACATTTATGTGTCGAGGTTGATCCACAAGTACAATTTAGTGTACTGCTTAGATGGATCCAAAATATTTCTTGATGTACTGTGAAGGTTGATCCCACATACATCAATGTGGACTGCTGAGGCAGATCCAAAATACATCTCGGTGTACTACAGAAGTGGATACCAAATTCATCTTCATGTACTACAGAAGTGGATCCAAAATGCATCTTCATGTACAACAGATACATTTAAAATATATCTTGGTATACTGCTATGGTGGATCCTAAATACATCTTGGGGTACTACAAAGTAGGAGGTCGGTGATGGGATGAATTGTCACAAAGTATATACATCCCATGTACATGTACAAGTAAGTAGACATTCACTGATATGATAGGCAAACCTCGCATTTTTGAGAATAATGGGCTGGGATTATTATTTAAAAAAAATAGCACACCCAACATTTTAGACACACTGTTAAAAATCAACAATTTTTTTAACTCCTTATGAAGTTTTGACTAGACCTATTAAAATGACTGGGGAAGTGAAATTTTCGACATTGACTGAAGTGGCAGAAGGGAGATAACTCTGGTGATACTTGTTACCATATCGATACGAGCATGGATGGGTCCGGCAAATGAGTTCTACTTTGTCATAATGACCAGAGGAAAAAGAGTGAAATCTTGGATCATATCGAAAACATTGTATGCCAAATTAAGTCGTGTTTTTTTGTGTGTTTTAAATGAGGTCCTGGTGTACTGTTCAGTTGGTTGGTAGTTGACAATCTATTGAAGAAACGTAAAATACATATAGGAACTCTCGCGTCTTTGGCGGAATGAAAATGTCAAAACTTGTGACTGGTTCCACTTTCTGTATGCGCGGCCGACAGAATTTATGAAACATAAATGCAAGACGGGGCGCTAGTCATCAAAAGACTGTTTTGATGTTTACAAACGTGCACAGAAGACAGCATGGTTATATCCGTGGACATTCGCCATATATTCAAATACCCGCTGGAATTCGTGGTGCAAACTCATTTTACTAAGGCAAGTATGAGAATATCTGGTGTGTTAGCTGCAGACCATGAAGGATACGTGAACATATATTCTTATGTAAGCACGAGTTGCACGTGCTGACCTGCAACTGGATGCCGCATATTGTGAAGGATAAAATGGGGGATACAGACAGGCCACTACAGCAATTGATAATCAACCGTCAAAACTCACACACATATATGTCCGAATTTGAAATATGAGTCCGATTTTGCAAAATCATGTGCTATATTTTGACTCTATAAAGGTATTGCAGTGCAAACACGACGCGTGGTTATAAATTATATAGTGCACGGTGCATGAAGTGATGTGTGGATACTTTCGTTCGACAAGTATTGTCATGATTGTGTATATAATATACGTCAATGTCATCGACGGTGTCGATCGGCGGGGGAAATGATTCAGTGTGATGTTGTCTTCAACGGGTGAAACGGTCCAAAAATTTATCTAAACGAATTTTGAACATATTTTCAATGTTAAGAATGATGTTTTCATTTCTGTTGAATTCAGTGATGTTAAAAGATGCAAAAGAAACGACAGTGATGTTTCTTTTCATGCTAATTGCATTTTAAATGTTTTGGGATAAGTCTGAGTGTATGGTTGCCAAGTATTCTAAATAAATCAGATATATTGACGTCAGCGAAACAGTAGTTGGAAGTATATATATATGGCTACTGTGAAATGAGCTTGTTTAAATTCCATATTGGTCATGATTTTACAGAAGCTTCAACAAGTATTTTAACTTTAGCTTAGGAAATTACCTTGGACGGAGACTCGAAGTGTAGCAGTTATGTTTTAAATCTTTGTGATTGGTGGTGCAGGGTGATGAGGTATATGTTCTGCTGAGTATAAGTTGTAACATATGTTTGGGATCCTGCTTTCTCAGTAAAGTACAGAATCTAGTACCCTCATAAGGTTGAGTCCCAACAGGGAGCGTAGGTTTGGGATCCCGCTGTCTCAGTGAAGTACAGAATCTAGTACTCTCATTAGGTTGAGTCCCAACAGGGAGTGTAGGTTGAGTCCCAACAAGAAGTGTAGGTTGAGTCCCAACAGGGAGTGTAGGTTGAGTCCCAACAGGGAGCGTAGGTTGAGTCCCAACAGGGAGCGTAGGTTGAGTCCCAACAGGGAGCGTAGGTTGAGTCCCAACAGGGAGCGTAGGTTGAGTCCCAACAGGGAGCGTAGGTTGAGTCCCAACAGGGAGCGTAGGTTGAGTCCCAACAGGGAGCGTAGGTTGAGTCCTAACAGGGAGCGTAGGTTGAGTCCCAACAGGGAGCGTAGGCTTGAATCCCAGATTCATACACGTATGAGTGAGTGAGTGAGTATGTTTGTGAACATCACTTTGAACAGAATGTGAATGAACATGGTTGAGTGCTGAATGTTAAAGTACTGTCGGAAATAGAAAAAACCTTTTTCACATTGATATCTACAATTTATGTAGTTAATAGTGTAAGTGTGAAATATCTGTTGAACTAAGTTTGGCCTTACTACAGTCTCAGTGGTAGGGAGATAGGAAACATAGAAAAAGGACTTTACTGAGGAGAGATTAGTGCATAAATGAGAAATGCAGGTTTTTGTAAGTCCAAAGCGACTTATTTGGAACAGGCCATGGCTTTATGCAAATTAGTGTGTGGTGATATTATATTACAAAGGACAATTTTTTAATGTCCATTTTGAAATTAAACTTAGCTTCATTATAAACGATAGCTGACATAAACAATAATAACTTTAATACTGAAACCATGAAGGATGTGGCTGCCATGGAGTCTCATCACTATAAAAAGAAACAGGTAGGAGGGATCGTCTCAAAAGCAAAACCAAGACGGTAGTTGGGGTCGGGCTTGGGGATAGAGATATTAGCTAAGATTAGAAAATCAGTAGAGACATATTCAATACACATGAAAAAGCATAAAAGGTATTTGAGATGACCCCTTGTGTCTGTGGGCAGCACGTGCATTTCATGCCAAGTGAGTTGACGGTCCGTTGTCATACCTGGCTGATCGACCTAATTGCCATCTATAGTCTGATCTGTTGTTTTCAGCAGCTGTTCGTATCTTTTCTAAGTTTTGCCCGATTTTACGAGTAAACATGCTTTTCTGGATATCTTATTACGCATCCCGCTGAACGCCCAGTTAGGCCGATGTGGGTTATTTCGACATATGCTATTTGCAATTGTGTAAATTTTAGGGATACAGAGTAACAGCCTAAAAACAGTTTTTTTCTATTTCCGACAGTACTTTAGTTTGATACTGTGGCCTAAATCAAAGCAGATCTCGGATGATTACCTTTTTCGTGAAAGCCTGGGGCATGGTATCTGGGAATCGGCTGCCTGTCAGAAGTTCCAATCACTGGGCTGTAGTGTCTATGGTATTGGTAAGTGGCACCTGTATAGCTCACATTGATATTTGGCTTCGACCATCGAGACACTCATCCCATATTATCAACATCTGACCGAGGTGAATACCTGACAGAAGTATGGCTAGTCATGTCATGAGATCTCTCCATTCCCAGTCTGTGTGGGAGAGATCTTGAATCTAATGGAAACACACTTATCCTATGTTCATTAGTTTCCATGCTGCTGACCATCCAGCGTTGTGTTACAGTATCTCATGGAAACACACTTATCCTATGTTCATTAGTTTCCATGTTGCTGACCATCCAGTGTTGTGTTACAGTATCTCATGGAAACACACTTATCCTATGTTCATTAGTTTCCATGTTGCTGACCATCCAGTGTTGTGTTACAGTATCTCATGGAAACACACTTATCCTATGTTCATTAGTTTCCATGTTGCTGACCATCCAGTGTTGTGTTACAGTATCCCATGGAACCATCCAGTGTTGTGTTACAGTATCCTTGCAAGCAGGAGAAGTATGTGGAGCGAGTGGAGACGGTGGAACACAAGACAGGTATGGTTTAACAGCAGGTCCAGGCCCAAAGTATGTTTACAGGTGGTACTGAGCAGAGCTGAATTTAGGAAAAGTGTACACACAACTCACTGATTGGACACACCCTGGATCCCACAGAAGAATAGATAACCACACAGGGAAGATGTAGATTAGATGGGGATCCTTGGGTGGGACCTGACTAAAAGTGAACCATGTAGATTGTTTGCTACTGCAGGCTTCCCGACAACTTAATGCTTGTCATAGAAACAAATACATGAATCATGTACAACCATCAAAACATGATGATAAATGTCTTTAAAAATTATTGGGGATGTTCTCCATGTTTGGCGGTTTGAGACACGTTGATGGCACACAAACTTGTTGATAGTAATTGGCTTCATGGTATTGTTGACTGGCATTTTCTCTTCTGAAATGAAGACAGTTTGAATCTATTCTGTAGTGCAGTTATTGTTATGAGACTGTGCAGCGTTTTTGTACAGTGAGACATTTTGTGATTTGATCACTTTGTGATTTGTGATTGTGAGTTCTGCTACAGGTGTGGACCCGTGAAGATCTGGGTTAGAATTGGTCTTCAGTAATCCATACTTGTCGTAAGAGGTGACTAACAGGATTGGGTGGTCAGGCTCGCTGACTTGGTTGACACATGTCATTGTATCCCATTTGAGTATATCATGCTGTTCATCACTGGATTGTCTGGTCCAGACTCGATTATTTACAGACTGCCTGCTTGAGTATAGCCCATGTGCAAAGCTCATTTCTGGTGTCCCCTGCTGTGGGGAATATTGCAGGAATATTGCTGAAAGAGGCGTAAATCTCACTCACCTACTCACTCACTCACTCACTCACTCACACTTAATGTATACTGCTGTGCACCAACTCACCCATTGTCAGTAGCCGCCCCAGTGTATTGTGAGATTTGCCTGGTACTGACAGTGCTACACTGTACTGGTGTTTTCAGATTTCACTCAGGGCATCGACTACAGGAAAAGGATAGCAGTGTGTACAAATGTTATACCAAACATACTCCGGTCTGTAAGTATTGAAAATCATTTTTATTTTTGTTGAATAGGGGCGGTGGGTAGCCTAGTGGTTAAAGCGTTGGCTTGTCACGCAGAAGACCCGGGTTCAAATCCCCAAATGGGTACATTGTGTGAAGCCCATTTGTGGTGTCCCCAGCCATGATGTTGCTGGAATATTGCTAAAAGCGGCGTAAAACCAAACTCAGTCAGTCAGTCAGTCAGTCAGTCAGTTCTGTTGAATAGGGGACGCTGGGGTAGCCTAGTGGTTGAAACATTGGCTTTTCAGGACGAAGACCCAGGGCTGATTCCCAACATGGGTGTAATGTGTGAAGCCCATTTATAGTGTCTCCTGCCAGGATATTGCTGGAATATTGCTAAAGCAGTGTAAAACCATACTCACTCACTCACTCACTCACTCTATTGGATTGGTCACCAGTTACCAAAATCCTAATTATTCAGGCACCTAATCAGTGTGGCATGGCGCTTTAGCAATACGTGATAGGTACATTTACTAGGCAGTAGTTAGACTGAGATGAACGTCTATTGCCTGTGAAGTAAACATTAACTCTCAACTTCTACACACATCTGCACCATTATTTATTCAACTTGATTAAAATCTCTTGAACTAATATGCGGATAACAGGTAGCATAACAGGAATGACAATTGATCTATCATGTCAAGTGATGTTTGATTGCAATTTTCCTGTTTTCATTTACTAAGTTTGTCCACCTCCGAAGATGCAACATAGTTTTGATTGGGCACATACATGAAATAGCAGTTATGGTATGCAATACAATATCGCTGTATTATTGTACATTCAGATCAGTAATAACAAGTATATACCACTGTATTATTGTACATTCAGATCAGTAATAACAAGTATATACCACTGTATTATTGTACATTCAGATCAGTAATAACAAATATATACCACTGTATTATTGTACATTCAGATCCAGTAATAACAAATATATACCACTGTATTATTGTACATTCAGACCAGTAATAACAAATATATACCACTGTATTATTGTACATTCAGACCAGTAATAACAAGTATATACCTCTGTATTATTGTACATTCAGACGTAATAACAAATATATACCTCTGTATTGTTGTACATTCAGATCAGTAATAACAAGAATATACCAGTATTATTGTACATTCTGACCAGTAATAACAAATATATACCACTGTATTATTGTACATTCAGACCAGTAATAACAAATATATACCTCTGTATTATTGTACATTCAGACCAGTAATAACAAGTATATACCTCTGTATTATTGTACATTCAGACCAGTAACAACAAATATATACCTCTGTATTGTTGTACATTCAGATCAGTAATAACAAGTATATACCAGTATTATTGTACATTCAGACCAGTAATAACAAATATATACCACTGTATTATTGTACATTCAGATCAGTAATAACAAGTATATACCACTGTATTATTGTACATTCATATCAGTAATAACAAATATATACCTCTGTATTGTTGTACATTCAGATCAGTAATAACAAGTATATACCAGTATTATTGTACATTCAGACCAGTAATAACAAATATATACCACTGTATTATTGTACATTCAGATCAGTAATAACAAATATATACCTCTGTATTGTTGTACATTCAGATCAGTAATAACAAGTATATACCACTGTATTATTGTAGATTCAGACCAGTAATAACAAATATATACCACTGTATTATTGTACATTCAGATCAGTAATAACAAATATATACCTCTATATTGTTGTACATTCAGATCAGTAATAACAAGTATATACCAGTATTATTGTACATTCAGACCAGTAATAACAAATAAATACCACTGTATTATTGTACATTCAGACCAGTAATAACAAATATATACCACTGTATTATTGTACATTCAGACCAGTAATAACAAATATATACCTCTGTATTGTTGTACATTCAGACCAGTAATAACAAATATAAACCTCTGTATTGTTGTACATTCAGACCAGTAATATCAAATACATACTACTGTATTATTGTACATTCAGATCAGTAATAACAACTATAAACTGCTGTTTTATTGCACATTCAGATCAGTGTGTTGAATGAACAAAACATGTTGTTGAAAGAAGAGGCATGGCTAGATTTTCGGAAACCCGAGTTTCGTCTGCGGAGCTGCAATATCACGTGGTCCAAGTACGCCCACATGTGGGAGGAATCAACATTCAAACCATGTCAGGAGAATCCTAAATGGTGTGTGATTTTCTTAAATATTGATATGTGTTAAACCTAATCCTTTACCTGAATTACCTGCCATCAATAAACTGTACATTTTATCAATCGAGGAGGTTTGTCAGACATTGACTACCCATGTTATCACTGTTTGATGGCTTGATGTCAGACAGAGAGTTCCCATGTTATCACTGTTTGATGGCTTGACGTCAGACAGAGAGTTCCCATGTTATCACTGTTTGATGGCTTGATGTCAGACATTGACCACCATGTTATCACTGTTTGATGGCTTGATGTCAGACATTGACCACCATGTTATCACTGTTTGATGGCTTGATGTCAGACATTGACCACCATGTTATCACTGTTTGATGGCTTGATGTCAGACCGGCAGCGAGTGCTCATATTATTAGAGTCTGGTGGCTTGAGGTTTCAGTTGGTGGATTGTGTGACTTCACAGGATCCTGTAAGCTGTACCTTTGATTGACTACCCATGTTATCACTGTACCTGTGATACTGTATTGGACATTATGTGGATACAAAGCTTTGTGTAGCAGTATTGAGCCCCCAAATCCGGTGTGAATAGGATTGCCATCATTTCAGTATCTAAATTAGGTTCTAGTATGTTATAATTCCTTATCCTGACTCATGCTCTTTTGCTTGTCTTCTTCTTCTTGCGAACATAGTGGAACACTTGTATTTCCCTAATTGAAGCTCCCTTCAATGTAAAATCACTAATTAGTACTCACCAAGAGTTACTTCCCTTTCCGAATGCGCGGGAAAGGAGGCGCCACCTCTTCCCACATGGTTCACTCTCTCCTTCTTCTTCGCCCAGTGAGCAGGATGTGAGAGCGCCTGTGTCTCCCTACACACTATATCCTTTGATTATTCTTATTTAGTTACCTCTTTTAGTCATCTATAGAGGTTTAGCTAGTATCCTTCAACAATTATGTATTGATATTTATTCGTATTTCTGCTGTTTATTCACGGGACGCCGTGATTGTTCAGTAGTTTACGTTGATGAAAATCTGTACTGTTTGCAGGTTACGTTTTTCTGCTGCTGATCCGCATTTAATATGCCCTAGCTGTACTGCACCATGTTCATTTTCTTCACGTTGCAGTTACTGTAATAAATTGTCTAATTCTGCTTTTGACAAATATTTACTTTGTGTCTTGAGACGTGCAGCAGATAGGTCACGTAAGCAGAGTCTAGCCATGGCTGATACATCTGAACCCCTCGCCAGTCAACTGCTGTCGGACGACCCCCTCCCGTCTGGTGTTCCGCTAGAGTTACCCTCGGAGGAGAGGCGTGGGACGCAGTCCGCCGTCTCCAAGAAGCGTCCTGCATCCCCAGACATCCCGTCGTCTCAGCCGAAGACTAAGAGGGCTTCTACTTCAACTCAACGCAGACTCCGCACCCCCAGGGCAGCATCTACCTCCAAGGGGAAATCAACGAAGTCTACTAGGACTTTCTCAGCTGAGATTGTTCCTGCCGCAGAACTGGGCCTGTATGATGATCAGCCGATCATCATACTTGATGTGTATCACAAGAAACGACCGGTGTCGGCAACAGTGACGTCAGCGCAGATCTACATGCAGCCTGATGTACCAACGCTGATGTACCGATCTTCCTGAGGGTCCCGTCGCTACCAACGCAGATAGGGCAGCAACTACATCTTCGCAGACCGTCCCAGACGACCTGGTTCTTCAGATTATGAAGATGATGGAAGACCGCTACGGACTGGAGAGACAACCAGCCCAGAGCCTCCAGCGTGAGCGTCCCCAGAGGCTCCAACGAAGCGGCTGCTACCACCCAGAGGGACCTCACGTCAACGTGGCGGCTGCTACCAGCCCACATCAGCGGAGGACCCAGATGTTCAGCCCCACCTGCTGGGGGTAGGGCGTTGAAGCCCACCTCTGCGGGTTCGACCCAGATGTTCAGCCTTTCTGGTGTCCCCGCCCGTGATGTTGCTGGAATATTGCTAACACCGGCATCGTCAAACTCAGTCCAGTCAGTCAGTCAGCCTTCACCACGTAGAGGTTCGCGAAGGAAGATCCTCTCATCCCGGACTCAGACTTGGACCCCAGCATTCTCGACTCAGACTTCCACGAAGCCTTCGCGAAAAGTCAAGTCACTCCCCAGGACCGACTCAGATGAAGCTTCGCAAAGGTCTTTCGAAGGGCACTAGTTACAGGCTCCAAGTCATCTTCGTCTAGAAGGTCATCGAGGGATTCCCAAGAGCTTCGCAAGCTATCACCGTCACCACATAGATCTCCTCGAAGGTCACTATACAGAGGCAGCTCATCAGGCCGTTAAGCCCGCGCCAATCTCCTCGCTCGCTTCACCTTGTCGATCTCCTCACAGATCACCACATCGTTATCACAAGTCTTCACGGAAGTCCCCAGACAGGTCTCCGTTGACGTCACCCTGCAGAGCTGTACAAGTATACAGGTCTCCACCTCAGTCACCATCGGAAGAGCATCAACCTCTTATCAGCGATCCCGTTACAGAAGATGATGGAGGCATCATTTTCTCCGACGCAGAAATACACTACTGGATGGTTAACAACCTGGACCTATCTTCACCTTCCAAGAACGGTAACCCGGCCCACACCTATCTCATGAGGGAGGACGACGCAGATACAATCACCCTACCTCCGATCGATCCGATAGCAGCGGTCCCACAGAATCTGGACTCAGCCTTCCATAAAGCCACTAAAGCCCAGGCGCCGCACTTACCACAGTTCAACGCCAAAAGTTCTCAACCCATAATATGGACCCATTTTTCAAGGCACAAGAAATCGACGATAACTTCAAAGTCATCAACGATGCCAAGACTAAGAACTATAAGATAGACGACCGCAAGCTGGCTCAGATCGAAACCATGACAAGAAGAATGTTCTTCGGCCTTAACAGATCAAGAACGATTAATGAAACTCTCATCACCAGATTTCGAGGTTCTACATCAGAAGACGACAGAATGATATACTCGGCCCTCCTTATGCAGAAGGAGGACCAGCAGTTTTTAACGGATCATCTAACATCAGTATCCGTAGCGCTAACTCTGGCTCGTCGTCAAGGTCTCCTCGCTTCCTGCAGTTGGGGTGAACAGTTCACATTTTCACTCTACACAGCCCCGTGGTCTACGCCATCAATCTTTGCTGGAGGAATAGATAGATTCTCTAAAGAAGTCACCAAGGATTCAAGGGAAGTCCTTATGATAAAGTCGATGGACACGCTAGCTAGCGTCATCAGACAGACATCACAGAGGTATTCAGGAAGATCAAAGTTTACTGGCTTACAAAAAGCACGGGACAGGAAGATGGCCGGTTCAAGAGGAGGAAAAGATTCCTTTCGTCGGCCATATGGCAACTACAGGGGAGGATCTGGAAGAGGCAGGGCACCCAGAGGCTCCTGCAACTATAAACGATGAAGGACGGGTTCGGAACGACTGGAGTCTTCCACCCCCAGCCGTTCCAGTACAACCATCACAAGTGGGTGGACGCCTTCAACTGCACTGGGAGAACTGGGGAATTCTACAGGATCCATATGTCTCCAACATCCTACAACACGGATATCGAATCCAACTACAGGCCACGCCTCCGCTTACAGTCAACCCTCACAAGTTCGACTTTCAGGCTCAACAACTACCAAAGTTACGAGAAGCTGTTTCATCTCTCCTAACCAAGCAGGCCATAGAAGTACTGGATCAAGTAAACATCGAACCAGGCTTCTACTCCCCAGTTTTCCTAGTGCCCAAGAAAAACTCCAAGGAAAAGTTCCGACTCATCTACAACATGAGCACGTTCAACAGAGATTATCTACGCAAACCGCCAATGTTCGCATGATACATCTACCTCAACTACTGCACCTAGTTCGTCCCATGGACTACATGGCCAGTATAGATCTGCAGGATGCTTATCTACATATCCCAATACATCCCGAATCCAGGAAATACCTACGGTTTACACTAGACGGGCTGCATTACCAATGGAATGTACTCCCATTTGGAATATCATCGGCCCCCTGGTTATTCACAAGAGTAACGAAACCTATCGTCACTTACCTACATCGTCTAGGGCTACGCAGTGCGTTCTACTTCGACGACTGGATTCAAGTAGATCAAGATCCACAGCGTCTCAAACTACAGTTAAACTTCATCATCAAGCTACTAATGCAGCTAGGATGGTTAGTAAATCTACTCAAGTCGGACCTAGAACCTACGCAAGATCTGCAATTTCTAGGCATTCGATTTCTCACAACACAGAACCATATCGTTGTACCAGAGGACCGATGGCTCAAGATCAACAGACCATCCCACAAGCCTTACTCTCTCCGCTACCACTACGACAATGGCAGAGTCTGTTGGGTCTCCTCACGTCAGCCCAAGACATGACAGTCAGAGGCAGACTACAGTTACGTCCGTTACAGGTCCTCATCAACGCTCATCTCGACGACCTACAACCATTCAGTCTACCAAAGGCACATCAGACCTCATCTACTATGGTGGACCAGGAGGTCGAATGTCTGTGAAGGCATCTATTTAACAGAGCCGGAATTCAAAACCCATCTCTATGTAGACGTGTCGCTCCAAGATTGGGGAGCTCATCTCGCCAACCGGACGGCATCAGGGTTATGGAACCAACAAGAGAGCAAGCTGCACATAAACATGCTAGAAATGAAAGCAGTAATCAATGCCCTACTACATTGGAGCACCATTCTACAGAATGCGCATCTAATGATTCACACCGACAACTCAACAGTGGCGTTTTATATAAACAAACAAGGCTCAATGAGATCATTGAACCTATTGACTCTATGCTTTCAACTGTTCGATCTAATCGACGATCTCAACATACATGTCAGAGCATGTCATATTCCTGGAGCCAAGAATGTACTAGCAGATGCACTCTCTCGGCCACATCTACCGTCACCGACAGAATGGATGCTCCATACAGAAATCTTTGCACAGATTATCAAGGAAATAGGAGCTCCGCTAGTAGACCTATTCGCCACTCGCTTCAACAATCAGCTAACAACATTACGTATCACCAGTCCCGGATCCACAAGCGTGGGCAACGGACGCACTAAGCATATCCTGGGAAGGCCAGCTGCGCGTTTCATGGGAAGGCCAGCGCTAATTCCAAAGGTGTTACAGAAAATCAGACAAACTCAGAGCCTCCAACTGATTTTGGTCGCGCCCTACTGGCCAGCGAGAACGTGGTTTCCCATTCTAATTCAAGAAATCGGACAACCAATACTACAACTACCAAAGCGCTCGAATCTACTAGTACATCCTCACACCAAACAAGCACACAGAAACCCAGAAACATTCCAACTTTAACGTATGGACTGTATTAAAGTGTGTCTAAACAAGAGAGGTTAATCAGCCAGAGCGGCGAAAGTAGTCACGCTTTGCTTTACGCGAATTCTACTACGCTAACTTGTATGACGACAAGTGGCATAGTTTTGAGACATAGCTGTTAAAAGGGATTTACAGCTAGAAATGCTACACATCCACAAGTGGCTGACTACCTTTGTTACCTACGACAAACTAAACGTCTAAAAGGCTCGACATTGTCAACATATCTCGCAGCTCTAAGTTCAGTTATAACTATGAGAACGGGTGTCAAGTTAACTAAAACGCCAGAGTTACTGGCCATGCTTAGTTCATTCCGATTGGAGGATCAGAAACAGAGATTTCGCTCCAGCATGGATCTAAATATAGTGCTCCAACACCTCACAAGTGAGGCCTATGAACCACTGGAATCAACATCATTTGAATTCTTGACACAGAAAACATTGTTCCTGTTATCCCTAGCAACGGCAGCCAGGATGTCAGAAATTCACGCTCTAGATTATGAGAGAACACGTTTCGATGACAATCAAAACATAGTGCATATGGGACTGCGATGGGACTTTATCGCCAAGAATCAATTGCCAGGTCAACCAGACAGATTATTCCATGTCCCTGCACTTTCCTCAATTCTCGGACCTCATGATACGCTTGACCTATCATTATGCCCAGTGAGAGCACTCAAAATCTATCTACAATGATCCAAAACGAGGCGACAACAACTCAAGCGGTTATTCATCCCTCTATCGACAGCGACTCAGACCGAAGTCTCTCGTACCACCATATCGATATGGATCAGAACTGTCATACTTCGTGCCTACAAGGCTGCAGGACTCGACCCTCCAAGAGCATCTAATCCCCATGAAATCAGAGCACTGGCTTCGACACTCACTCTACACGGAAATTGCTCATTGAATACCATTATGGAGGGCTGCTTTTGGAAATCCAACATGGTGTTTGCTAACCACTATCTGAGAGATATCACCACCGAGGACGTCTCAGGTATTCACCATTTCGGTCCCATGGTCCTCGCACAGCAGTTGACAGTCCCTCGTAGACGATGAGACATAGTCTCACGAGATTATTCTGTATATATCATACCAGTATTATCTAGCTTATAACTCTACAGAGTTTTGTGCTAATTATATACTTATCTTAAGTCTACATTAGTCTTAAGCCCAGTACTGATGTTACATGTACATTGGGTCGCTTCTCCACTTTGGAGTCGCCTTTATACTATTATTTTTATTATAATAGTATCTAAATATTGTAGTACCCCATCTATGGCAGCTGGTAGAACTTATATATTATAGCAGCAGGAATTATCTTAATTACAGTGCCATTATGAAGTTCCCGTAGGGGGTTATTACATATATAAATCACTAATTATTTAAATCCAAAGTATTCTTCTTCCCACCTCCGTTTCCGTAGGATTCTACAAGCAAAAGAGCATGAGTCAGGTTAAGGAAAAATATGTAATTTTCTGAATAAAATTGATATTTTATACTTATCCTGACTCATGAGGTAAGCCCTCCCATCCTCCCCACATAACACTTTGGATTTCCCTGTAAATTCAAGTGTTGGGCTCGTTAAACAGGAGATAGTGAAGCATGTGGGAAGAGGTGGCGCCTCCTTTCCCGCGCATTCGGAAAGGGAAGTAACTCTTGCTGAGTACTAATTAGTGATTTTACATTGAAGGGAGCTTCAATTAGGGAAATACAAGTGTTCCACTATGTTCGCAAGAAGAAGAAGACAAGCAAAAGAGCATGAGTCAGGATAAGTATAAAATATCAATTTTATTCAGAAAATTACATTTTGGGTTGAGTCCCGTCCCGTCCTCAGAGTCAGGCACCTAATCGCCATCACACAAAATCAGCCTCCTAACCTGCTCAGCCACCGCGACTTCCACAATTAGGATATTTTGAACGTTTAGATCAGAATTAACTTAAATTGAATTGACTTACAAGTGTGTAAATGTAACAACATATAGTGTTAATCTATAACTATGTGAATGACTACCGGTGTACAGAAGAGGCAACACATGATCACTGTTTTCGAGTACTTTTATTGAGGAAGCCTGATGGTTAAAGTGTTTTGCTTAAATTCGAGAGCTGGTGTAACTTATTAGCTGCAATTTGTAATTTATAATTTGTTTTTACAACTTTAATGACAAGTTCTCACTTTGTTGAACCAGGACCGTTCTGGAGCAGCATGGGGTGATCGACGTGAAGGCTTTTGGACCATTCGGGAGAGTCCTTGAAATGTTTGCAGAGGGATTTTTACATTCAGGAGTGAAAAGGGTGAGCAATGTTTGGAGGAATATAATGTGGGTATTTCCACTTTAATAGTTATTGTTTTAACATGTTACATTAGAAAATGTTGTGAAACTGGTGGACAAAAAAGTTAGAAATAAAGAAAAAGTCGTTCTTGGCAAACAGATGGTTTACTTTTTACCAGACATTGTCCAACTTAGAATTGTTTTACATTATGATTAAAGTGGAGAGGATAAGTTTGTTTTATACATTTGTCCCATGTTTATCAAAGTGTGAGCTGAAAAATCCATAATTCTAGTTATTGGAAATTTTTTGCCATGTTGATTTCTTTATACAGAATCAGTCATGTTTCTACAGGGCCTGAGGATTATGGACCAGCTACTTGAAGAGCGATCTGGCGACACTCCCAGTTGATGCATGACCCAGCAGCATACATCCCTCCCCCGTCCCCCACGTAACACAATACTCTGAGAATGTCATGAGTAGATTGTGTGACTGTCACCATCAGGGATTTTGTAAAAGTTTTTGTAACGGAGATTTCAATGTAGCGATACATCATACTCTATGAAATCTTTGTCAAAACAACAAACATCTTTAATTTGTCTTACATGAGTACATTGTTGAAGATCTCAGATCAATCCCCAATCACTCCCTGTCCGATGCTGAGTGAGTCGGTAAACAACTGAAGATCCTTTCACACAGTCAGTCACATTTGGAAGACCAGTACAATTTGGTTTACAAGATTACTGAAAAGAAGTCATGGTATCTTTGAAGGGAGACTACTCTGCCAGGCCAGGTTTCCACATGGTCACATGTCATTGTGGGCAGTCCAGCTACTTCGGCCTGACCTGATCTCAGGGATGTGATTTCTCAGGACAGTGTACCAGCTAGTCATCTCTAGTTCAGGATTTATTGATCTTCTACCTGGTGCAATAATACAGGTGTAATATATGCCATAACATAGTACTGTTGAGAACATGACATTGTTTCATCATATGAAGAAGATTTACAAAATTTCTCTTCCTTGTATCCTTCATATCCTAGAACCAACTGCTGCTGACTCCTGAAGTGTGATCATCACCACGGCAATAGGGAAAATCCAAGCGCCAACCTCATGATCCATATACATGTACACTTCACTCACCAACAGCAAAACCTGCACACCTACATGGACACTTCACTCACCAACAGCGAAACCTGCACACCTACATGTACACTTCACTCACCAACAGCAAAACCTGCACACCTACATGGACACTTCACTCACCAACAGCGAAACCTGCACACCTACATGTACACTTCACTCACCAACAGCAAAACCTGCACACCTACATGGACACTTCACTCACCAACAGCAAAACCTGCACACCTACATGGACACTTCACTCACCACCAGCAAAACCTGCATACCTACATGCACACTTCACTCACCAACAGCAAAACCTGCACACCTATATGGACACTTCACTCACCACCAGCAAAACCTGCACACCTACATGGACACTTCACTCACCAACAGCGATACCTGCACACCTACATGGACACTTCACTCACCAACAGCAAAACCTGCACACCTACATGGACACTTCACTCACCAACAGCGATACATGCACACCTACATGGACACTTCACTCACCAACAGCGATATCTGCACACCTACATTGACACTTTACTCACCAACAGCGATACCTGCACACCTACATAGACACTTCACTCACCAACAGCGATACCTGCACACCTGCATAGACACTTCACTCACCAACAGCAAAACCTGCACACCTACATGGACAATTCACTCACCAACAGCGATATCTGCACACCTACATTGACACTTCACTCACCAACAGCAAAACCTACATACCTACATGCACACTTCACTCACCAACAGCAAAACCTGCACACCTATATGGACACTTCACTCACCAACAGCAAAACCTGCACACCTACATAGACACTTCACTCACCAACAGCGATACCTGCACACCTACATGGACACTTCACTCACCAACAGCGATACATGGACACCTACATGGACACTTCACTCACCGGGGCAGTGGGGTAGCCTAGTGGTTAAAGCGTTCGCTCGTCACGCCGAAGACCCGGGTTCGATTCCCCACATGGGTACAATGTGTGAAGCCCATTTCTTGTGTTCCCCCGCCGTGATATTGCTGGAATATTGCTAGAAGCGGCGTAAAACAATACTCACTGACTGACTTCACTCACCAACAGCGATACATGGACACCTACATGGACACTTCACTCACCAACAGCGATACATGCACACCTACATGGACACTTCACTCACCAACAGCGATACCTGCACACCTACATTGACACTTCACTCACCAACAGCAAAACCTGCACACATACATGGACACTTCACTCACCAACTCTCAAGTAGTCGGAAATAGAAAAAAAACCTGTTTTTTCGTGTTTATGTCTACAATTTATGTAGTTAATATGTGAAAGTGTGAAATATCCGTTCAACTAAGTTCGGCTTAAATACAGTCTCAGTGGTAGGGAGATAGGAACCGTAGAAAAAAGGACTTTTTGAGGTGAGATTTGTGCAGAAATGAGCAATGCGGTCAAAGCAACTTATTTGGAACAGACCATGGCTTTATGCAAATTAGTTTGCGATGATACTGTATTACAAAGGACACTTTTTTAAATTCACATTTTGAAATTAAACTTAGCTTCATTATAAACGATAGCTGACGTAAAAAATGATAACTTTAATACTGAAACTATTAAGGATGTAGCTACCATGGAGTCACTATCACTATGAAAAGAAACAGGTAGGAGGGGTTGTCACAAAAGCAAAACCAGGACGGGTGTCGCACACGGTGGTGGGAGTCGGGGTGGGAGATAGAGATATCAGTTGAGATAACATAACCCTTTAGGGGAATTAAACTGGGGAAACAAGCTGCATGTCAAAACAATTTACAAATAATATCCAGTCCTGTCGATCTTTGGTTGTCATGCCACCTACATATTTTGAGACATTTAATACGATCGCTGATTTAAGCTTCTCTCTATGGGTATCATACTCTTTTACATATCTCAACATAAACTTTGTGAAAGAAAGTCAGGTTAGATGTTAATCGATAGATTAAACATATTCAACACACACGAAAAAGCATGAAATATCTCTGAGATGACCCCTTGTGAGTGTAGCTAGCACATGCATTTCATGACCGGTGAGTCGATCCGTCGTCATACCTGGTTGAACGACGTAATTGCCATCTATAGTCTGATCTATTGTTTTTAGCAGTTATTCGTATTTTTCTGAGTTTTGTCCGAGTTTACGAGTAAACATGCTTTCCTGGATATCCTATTATGCATCCTACTGAACGCCCAGTTAGTCCGATGTGGGTTATTTCGACATATGCTATTTGCAATTGTGTAAATTTTAGGGATACAGAGTAACAGCCAAAAAACAGTTTTTTTCTATTTCCGACAGTACTTTAGTATTAATGAAGGGGTTCACTTACGGTTATCCCTCCTGGAGCTGTGGCGTAACCCTGTTTCTGTATTTTCTCCATAAACCTTCCACTTCAGTAATCCTTCTGGTTCATTAGGGCTCATTAGGGGCCGTTCATAATTTAGTAAGCTGGGTCCTTGGTTTTTGGAGAAAGGAGAATCTCAATCTGATTGGAATCAGATCTTTTACATCATCTGTTAAGACATTACAGTACAACCAGAAATTATTGAGAATTTAAAGATTGTAATTTTGTTATATTTTTTTCACTCATTACTTGCGTAGTAAATGTGAATATGAGCAGAAAATAACTCCAGATTCAAAGACAGGTGAACAGTTAGTATTTTGTCAAGTCACCAATGCAGGCTTCAATGCGGCGGGGCATACTACTGATCAAAGAAGATAGAAAGTCGCGGTCCATGCTGTCCCAATATCGGACCACCTCTTCTTTCATTTCAGCAATATTTGTCAGATTTTTCTTATTGACATTTTCCTTCATAAGTCCCCAAACATTTTCTATTGGATTTAGGTCAGGGCTATAGCTTGGCCAATCTAATAATGTCATATTTTGGGTCCGAAACCAGGCCTGTGAATACTTTGAACGATGTTTTGGGTCGTTGGGCTGCTGGAAAATAATTTTTTTCTCCATAGAACACGTGAGCAGATGGAAGTAAACGTCCCTCAGATATGTGTGTACCGCTCACTGTTCATATTCCCTTCAAATACACAGAGGGGCGTTGCCCCTAACACAGATGTGCCACCCCACACGTTAAATTTCGTACTGTACTTTGGGCGCTGATACAAAGGTTTTTCAGTTTGTTTGGTCCCGAATTTCAGTGTATTAGGAAACAGCCACACAGAACTTTCATCTGAGAAAATCACATTGTCCCAGTTAAAATTTCTATGCTGTAAGCACCAGTTCAACCTTCGCTCCTTTTGTTCAGGTTTTATGATCGGTGATGGAATTCCTCGACTTTTCTGCCAACCCATTGCATGCAGCTCAGTTCTAATTGTCTCCTCACAGACAGCCACAGTTCCTCCATCAATCATATCCAGCCTTAAGTTTTCTAAACTCAATCGTTTGTTTTTAGAACAAGAACGCCAAGCTGCCTCCTGTCACCGTCAGTCAATTTTCTGGGCCTACCTGCGCCTCCCTGGTGCTCAATGCCATATCCATTTGCAATATTTTTCAAAACACGATAAACAGTGGACAAAGGGATGTCTTTTCTACTTGAAATCACTTTAGCTGATCTGGCCCCGATTTCTCGAAACAAACTTAAGTTTTTACTCAAATTTCAACTGAGTTTGACAATTTGAAACAGCTGAATTCTTAACTCAACTGCATTTTATAAATAAAAAAGCCCAAACAACTTAAGTAATCTATCCACCAAACTCAAATTGTCTAGTATGTTTGAGTTTAATATCGATTTCAGTTCATTTTGCGCAATGCATTTTCTCAAATTTGAGTAAATACTTTAACTTAAGTCAAAACTCAGACTTAGGTTTGTTTCGAGAAATCGGGGCCTGATGTTCTTGTCATAATACTCTAAAATCAACTTCCTCTTCTCTAAATCATCCATACTGAGGATCACTGAAAATGTCGTCTGCTAGCAAGTAAACAAAGGGGGTTAACTCTTCACAAACTAATGAAAAAGGATTAACGGAGTTGTCTCTCTTGAATGAAACCAAGCACTTGATAGCTGGTCAAGGTTGTTAAAACGAGATATCCAATTAAACATATTCCTAAAATTCTCAATATTTTCTGGTCATGCTAAGTTGTGTTTTATACAGTAGATGGAACAAGGTGATGGCGCTGTTCCCTGTTATTGTCCAGTTTATTTTATTATACTGCAGCTAAATCCGACCAATGTAAGTGGTCAGTGTGAACAGAGAAAGGTAGTTCCATGTTTCTATTTTTCAGGTTGATTTGATAAAGGGTAAAATGATTTAATAGCTGACACAGCCTGTCCGGTGTTGCTGGAAACAACATGGTGTTATTGGAGATCCATTCACCTGTGTGTGGCTACCAACGTAATTGTACCTCTGGTGAAAGTCGTGTATTTATAATGGGAGTATAATTATTGTCTTTTACTTGCATACAGTGCTGGATACGTTCATAAAGTATGTTATTTCCTGTAGTTAGGTACATTTCACCTTACAGCTGATGTAATACTTGTTTACAACAGACGATGTCGTGTATACTTTATCTTCTTCCTGCTGATGTTTGTATGATATACAGATTCCGTAGTTATTGAAAAGGGATTTGTTCATTTGGGCATTTTTTTCTTTAAACTATTTTGGGGAAACCTCCATTAAAACACAGGCTTTCGCCACTGTTGATGTGAGTGGTATGTTGTGTTTTGACGTGTTAGAGGGAAGGGTGTTTCTTCTGATGGCTCGATGGTTATTGATTAACTGTATGGGCGACGTCAGGTAGCGTCTCCAGAATATATGTTACTGTTTACAGTAGTTTTATAAGTCTAGCTAACTTGTATATGTATGACTTCAGCAGTACGCCATCGTTCTGTCCAGCGGT